TGATTTGCACACGACCCAATCATACTGCAGTCTTAATCATGTGACTGCCCTTTTTTTTCGCCATCACTGACTCATTATCCACCCTCTTCCAAGCTCACGAGAGAAATGAAATATTTATCCGAAGTAGATACCAATAAGTTATCATAATGATAGTATCTTTCATCGTATTCGCTATCATATTAATATCTATCTATCTTGTGAATAATGTGGTAAATCGACCATTTCCGAATAAAAATTATGTAATTATAATATTATTCTGGCGCCTACTGTTATCAAAGAATGCTAGCAAAAATTACCCACAACATATCCACAACAAAAGAAAGTGAGCAATTATATTCGAACATTTACGAGGTAGTTCGTTCCGCGAGGCCTTACTTTTAAATTGATATGTGTAATTCTTAGTAATTCTTTTATCGTTTTGACAAACTTTTCTATTATTCTTTAGCTTATATTAAAATACAAAATAATTGTCATTATGCTATTACTATTATTAATATTAATCCAACATAAAAAGATTGCAATTGAATATTAAAATTTTTTTCTGTTCTTCATTTGCTTTTAAAATCTCATTTGCTATTAGTTAATTTATTTTAAACAATTGTGGGCTTAGTTCTCATTTCAATCGAGCACGCTGTTGTGAACAAAAGTTCCTCGCGATAGCATTTCAATAGAATTAATTGTTTGTGTGATGTGATTTGTTAATAATGTTATTATTACTATTAATAACTTTTATAAAATTCCCATGTGATGTGCTGAGAGATCACCGTGGCGGATATTGTGGCTTATATATATTTATCAAAGCCCCCTGAAGCCAAGTACTTGTTAAACTAACAACTGACGATGGAGTCCAAGCAAGATTCTCTGAGAAAGTCTGAGGAAATCGAATTCTTAAATATATATAATGATAGAAAGTCAGAATCATTGATATTGCTTACCAGCGTCAAAAATTTGTTCTTCATTCAACTGCCAAACATGCCCAAGACTTACATTACGCGAGTAGTGTACGATTTCAACCATCGTAGTATGATAGTAAAGAAAAAAAGCTCCACAACAAAGGTTCTCGGTGCCATAACATATCGCCCTTTTCTTGAGAGAAAGTTTGCTGAGATAGTTTTTTGCGCTGTCGATTCCGACGAGCAAGTCAAAGGTTATGGTTCGCGTCTAATGAACCAATTCAAGGACTATATAACAACCCACTCCGATATAACCCATTTCCTAACGTACGCGGACGATCTGGCTATTGGTTTCTTTAAGAGGAACGGATTTAGCACAGAAATTACTCTAGAGTATTCGATATGGGCAAAACATATAAAGGACTATACGGGCGGAACACTGATGCAGGTATTTGACTTTTATCGCGAATCATTCTCTTGCCATTTGCGTTTGATTCGTCTTTTACCGTGTTTGATTTGTCTTGCACGCTCTTACGTCAACACACGCAAACATACCAGTGCCGTCTTATTCCTAGAGTGAAGTATGTAGAGGCACGACAAACACTTGAATCTCAACGTCTAGCAGTGAAAGACAAGCTTAAAGAAAAATACGCTACTATTACGAAACAATCAGGGCTGAAGTTTTCAAAGAGTGATGGGAAATACGATCCGCTATCTATTCCTGGAGTAAAGGAAGCAGGATGGACGCCGGAAATGGAGATGCGCGCACGAAAGACTATATGCCTACCTCACTACAGGACCATGGTCACTGTGTTGGAGGCACTAAAAGAGCAAAATTGTGCATGGCCGTTTCGAGAACCAGTAGACGCGAAAATTGTTTCTGATTATTATGATGTTATTAAACAGCCAATGGATCTCTCGACTCTCGAGAAAAATCTGAAAAATGACAAGTACCAGACTATAAAGCAGTTTGCGGATGATGTACAGAAAATATTTGACAATTGTCGAATATATAATGCAAAAAATACACTTTACTATGCCGCAGCAGATGAGCTAGAGGGATTTTTTAGGAATAAGATGCATGAAGAAGGTGTAAGGCTCTAAGTAAGGTACGAGCGGGAGCGAGGGAGGGAGAGAGAGAGAATGTGTATGCGTGAGTGAGACTTGTACGGACATGTGACATTTTCGAGTGTGCGTAATCAAAATTTGCAGATAATGAAGGCAAATAGTGAAGGTAATTAGTGTTTAGTATGTAATGAGCCATACAGATAAACTTTTAATACTGCTTTACACAAAGCCACACTTCCAGCAGCTAATTCTGTTCTTAAAGAAATTCGTGATTCCGGTAAGTCGGATATTTTTATTATGTTTCAATAAGGGTTGCAACTAGTGGATTATAACGCGATACAATACAATTGCTCATCATATTTAGTGTGCTTGGAAACAGTTGGTATAAAACTCATTACGTCAGATACGAATCAAGGTCAACAGTGTATGTGAAATGTTGTGCCACATGACACAAGATTGATAACAAGAGTTGGAAAGCAAGATTTGTTTGTATGTGTGCGCTTTTGATTCTGCATTGTTTTCTAAATTACATATAATTTATGGCAAGTCGGATTCAAGCGACATGATAGAGTGCGGAAAAAAAGGGGGCCTGCGTGATCTTGATGGATTGCGGCTTTTTACGGGTATCACGCTAATTAATTAGTTTATTGTTCGACTGTTCATGCGAAAGATGCACAATGATATTACGGCAACAAGCATTATAGTGCCATTGACGGTAGAGTAAGAGTTATACTGGGTGTTTATCAGTCTTAGCTTCTTCATTGAATAAACTTTATTTTTATTCTTGTAACGAATTCTATAATATTTAGGCGTCTTGTTGTTTTGCAGAATCATTTTGCCCAATGCGATCGGCTTCCCATAACATACGCTCATTTTGTTCCTTTGTATTATATGGTGCACCATACCCCAAGTCTTGCAGTATCACCTGAAAAGAACATGATCATGTACTGTTGTTTGTTGCCGTACAATTTGAAATTGCCCCCCCCCCCCCTCCCTCTCTCTCTTTTTTCATTACTGACCTTCTGATCATCGAAACATTTCCAAAATTTCTTTCTAGCTCCTTGACATAAAGTTGCTTTATCGAACCAACTTCCTTTTATAAAACATTCTTGCAAATCTGAATGAAGATCTGAACAGTTCAATAAGGCTGCCTCATGGATCTCACGTTTCTGATCAAATACCCCTTTGTTTACTTTCGGTACAATGCTATCAGGTTTATCGTCTATTTTCTCTCGTAGCTGGTTATCCCTAATAATTTTATTATCTTCAAATAGCAGAGGATTAATGGTCGGGGCATCAGCAATGTCTGACAGAAAAGATTTATCAGATTTGGGGCTGTTATCCGTCCAAGCCTGAGCATTTGATTTAGCAGATTCAGAAGCGTTGGACGGCGGAGGAGTCGAGGGTAAATCAGAATTTAGTGACGGGTCATACTTTGGTTGTGATTTTTTCAAAAAATCGCCAAGTGAGGAATTCAATGAATCTATGTATGAATCTATGTAATCTCGTGCGGTTTTCCGGTCCTCTGATGGATTTGTGCGGTTCGATTCATCAACCATTATCTGGTATAGATGGTTTTTGCCTTGGGCGCAAAATTGTTGCGACGCAGGTGGTGTGACATTGTGACGTTATTGGACCACTATTATTGCTATATTAATTTTCTCACATAGAACGCTAACATTATCTGTTTACACTGTTGATTGGTCAATCAACGATCTCTTTCCAAGATAAGGAGATCCCAATGAAAAATAAACTTGAGATTTGCATTCCCTCTCCCATGTCAATCCTACCAGTTTTTCTTGCTACATATGTGCCTCGCTTGTTACACATACACATTTGGCAAACATCTCATTCCATACTTTGAATCAACGGAATATCGTTTCTCGTTGAAACGCCCACAGTAGCCGCTCGTGCTACCCAAATATTATTAGTCTTTTCTTTACAGTAACAAATAAATAAAGTGGAGACTTTGCAATTCTTCGACGACTATAAACCCCCCCTCCCAACATGAAATTCGGATCACAGTTAAAGGGCTCTTTATATAGAGAGTGGGCAGAATTTTACCTTGACTATGACGGGTTGAAGAAACATTTGAAGAGAGGGGAGAAACAGGAAAGAGGGTATACGGAAAAGGACGAGAGCGATTTTGTGGAGAAATTGGATAAAGAGTTGGAGAAGGTATGCATGTCGGGTGACGGAGATTCCATGATTATTGTACGTTTGATTCACAACATTCTCTGGGATATTTGTAGATATATAACTTTCGACTTGCAAAATACGAAGAAATCCAAGAACGTGTTCAGAATTGCGAAAATGCCGTAACATCAATAAGTAGAAGTCCCTCAATGAGCGTCCCGGATAGGTATGCAGAAGTAGAACGTGAGATCAATGCCATCACCGAGGAATTGAACGAGTTGTCCAAATACGCGAGACTGAATTACACGGGCATTATAAAAATTGTCAAGAAACACGATAGGTAAATATGCATAATTCACGTAATTCGCTTTCAATAAGCTTTTTTCCTAATTTATCTATTCTTCTTTTTCGAAAAGGCGGACCCGTTACATTCTTAGACCAATGTTTAATGTCCGTCTAAACGCAAAACCGTTCTATAAAGAGACCTACGAGCCGATCATTGTTCAACTCTCCCGTCTTTACCATATAGTTCACACCGGTCTTGGAATAGATCAGATGTCATCACAAATCTCTTCTACACCCTCGTTCTCATTTTCGTCATCGTGGCATCCTCCCCATACAGAACGGATCTCGCGTCACTCGTATAAATTTTGGGTTCATCCTAACAATATCATGGAAGTCCGTACCACCATCCTCCGCCATCTACCCGTATTAATATATAAAACTAGTTCGGATTCGTCGATAACTTCGGTCTATTTTGACAATCAGTCCTTTGAGTTGTACCAGGATAAAATTGATCACAAAGACGGGGAGCAACTAATAAGGCTGCGGTGGTATGGGTCAAGAGAGCATGCGAGAAAGATATTTGTCGAGAAGAAAGTCAAACGTTTGGGAGAAGAAGAAGTCAAAGATAGAGTTATGATTAAGGACAAGAATATGAGCGCGTTCTTGAATGGAACGTGGTCGCTGGAAAAGAGGATCGAAAAGATGAGAGAGATTCCTGGAAAGTCTGAAGAAGATGTCGAACGATTCAAAGAGTTTGTCGCCGATGTTCAAACTACGATAAAGCGAAAAACCCTCGAGCCTGGTGAGTGATCATATCAACAACAGGATGTTGGAAAAAACGAGCACATTTTTTCCTAACATTCTTCAATATCTTTCAGTCCTTTGTTCACATTACAATCGCATGGCATTCCAAATTCCGGGCGATGGCCGCGTGCGTATTACTCTCGATACCAACTTGGTTTTGATAAGAGAGGATAATTTTGATACTATCCGACGCCCGGAAGACAACTGGCACCGGCCCGATATGGATGACGAGAATTATCCGTTTAATAAACTACCGGCTTCGGATATTGTGAGATTCCCATATGCGGTCTTGGAAGTAAAATTGAATCTTGAAGCGGGCAAACGAGAACCTGCATGGGTTATGGAGCTGATGAAGAGTCATCTGGTGAGTTGGGTTGAAGGGAGAGGAGGGTACAAAACCAAGTCGGGTATTTTCTGACGAAAATGAATTGCTTATGATTTTGTAATAGGTCGAGGAAGCGCCACAGTTTTCAAAATATGTCCATGGTATAGCGACGTTATTCACATCTCAAGCGCCGTCGTTACCATTCTGGGTACCGTCACTTTATTTGCGTTTTCTCATTTCCCAATTACCAATCAATTTCTGATACAAACCATGCGTCTTAATCTCGATGAATATAGCTCCCGAATATTGACAAGGACATTTTGAAACCACCAAACGATCGCACCACATCTTACGATGCTTATGACGATGACGAAACGCCCTCCACTTCCACCTCCAAACCATTAAATATTCAACCACAAGCACGTTCACGACGTGTACCGTCACGTAACGCCAAGCCGATGTACGTAGAAGTTGTTGGCGATAATTCCCAAAGGCAACGTAAAAAGAAAGATAAAGGCAAAGCTGTGGCGTGCTCGCCGTCTTCGGACGACGAACCGCATGAAGATAGCACTTATCGAAATGATCGAGTTTCCCCTTCGGGACCGTTATCTCTGGACACGATCAGGCGATTCTTTACAAAATCTCAACGCAGATCGCCGTCTCCGGTGAAATTGCCTCCGGGTATTAGTCCCCCGAAAAAAGCCAAAGAAGCGCTTCGAATAGAACCGAAAGTTTATTTGGCCAACGAGAGAACGTTCTTCGCATGGTTGAGGTTTAGCGTGCTATTGGGTACTTTTGCGTTGGCCTTGTTCAATGCTGGAGGAGATGAACCTGTTGGAAAGTTCTGTGGATTATTGTATAGTCTAATCAGTCTATCTGTACTGATCTATGCGTTGCTTCAGTATCATCAGAGGACCAGACTAATCAAGTCTAGCTATGGCGGACCGTATGGTAAGTTTATGAAATGTTGTGACATGGAGCATTTAATTTGAGAGTATAAAAATAGGAATAAACTCTAATGCGATAGACTAATGTCATTATTTCTTTTTTGCAGATGATTTGGTTACCCCAACCCTTGTTTGTGGATCACTATTTGTGGCTGTCGGCCTTAATTTCTGGTTAAAACTTGGTCCCAAAATGGTTGAGGGACAAAATTGACATTAATGTTTTTAGTATTAGGAAGATCACGTTTCTCTTTATAATTCTATCTCATGTTACATCTTAATATGTTATCTTTCCGCGTGATTAACGCCGCCTAGGCAGAAAATAAAACGCGTAAATATCTTCGCGCACGTGCTGGCATGATAATTGATCCGCAATATCCCAACGCACGTGAAACTCTAGTCGGCGTAAATCAGTAAGGCTCAGCCCCTAAATATATTATTGTTGTTCTGGACACAACAGCTAGCTAGCTTCCAAAACTTACCCTTTGATCATAAAATACGACTCTTTAGTTGCAATTCTAAATATATTACCCGATTTCATTTGGTTATATATTCTGCTGCTTTTATACATTACCAATGAACCACTCGATATCACCATACAATCCCAGACTTGCTAATCCTTTTGCACAGCCAAAGAAATTGCCTGTCCCTGATTATAATAAACCCATAGTAGTAGCGCCGGAGAACAATCATTTGGGCACTTTCGATCAGATAAGAAAGTCTTATGGAAATCAGCAAGTAAAGGCGAACGATTGGTGGATGTGGATAAGAAGTTGGCAGGAAAAAGTTGCGCTCGAGGCAATGGGTAAGAGCAGGAATTTGATTATCTCGATATGAAAGGGAGAATGAATGGTAATAGTAAGGATATAGTGGCATTACTATTACCATTACCAAAAGTTTCATAAATAGTAGTTTACCACTAATTAATGGTGCGATATAGTCAGTGTAATACGTGAATGGTCATACAGATTATCATTATTATGGTTGTGTCGTAAAGAGAAAAGCCGTTATTATTCTTCTTATTATTATGGGTTATTAGTATTAGTAAAAGTTAATTCTTAGAGATTAACAATAGGTAGTAAATGCTATATTCAAGATAAGGTTGCACTAACATTGACCATGGTTTGCAGAGTTGCAAACTAGGAAGCAACGCCGTGCAGAGGAAAAGAAGCTACGCGATATCGAGTTAATGAAGAAGGAGCATCTCATAAAGCAAGAGAATACTGCAACAGTCAATCATAATATAAATGACAATCATTTGATGGACACTAACACTAATGTTAACACTAATGCACACACTAATACTAACGCCAACGCACACACAAGCACTAACGCTAATACGTACACGCATATAAACACATACACGCATATAAACACATACACGCATGTAAACACACACACGCACATTAACACATACACACACGCTAACACATATTCTAACAATATGATTGCAAATCACGTCGGCAATTTGGAAGATAACGCCCAAAGACATTTATCTGCAACAAATAAAGAGGTTTCACAGATGACTGTTGACGAAACAATACAACCATCCTCCAATTCTTTACTTCCCAAACACCTTAGTAACACAGTCACTCAGCCTGTTGAAACAGAGGAACAACAAGAAAAACGATCTCGCCGTGTAAGGAGACGCAAAACTAAATCTGGAGATATATCAAAGAAATCAACTGGTATAGAAAAGCCTGTCCGAAAAGCTCGAAGGCCTAGAACACGTAAGCGGAAAACAGAGGCTGGCATTGTATCAGTTGGGTAATGAATAATTGGGATGGGCGAGACAAAATCATATGATTATGCAAGAAAATTAGCAGTATAGATGAGTCGATTCGATAGTTTTTGGATGGGTTCTTTTCCCCGTTTTGAACGAGATTTTGGTTAAATTGGTTGTCTTTTATTGGACGTTTGTTGTTTTCATTTACTGACGCCAAGTAGTTCGGTTTGTTGATTCGTTTGTTATTGTTTGATAAAAACAACTAGATAATAACATAAGCCCTGTGTTATTGTCAGTGTCCGCAGTCTTGTGAGCAAGTTTTATGGTTGACGTTAGGCAGAAGCCTGCAAATTTGGAAACGCCCCGTTACTGCAAGGGTGTATATTACGAGTATCATATATTGACGACCTGTCAGCTTTTTTGCGATACCAATGCACCTTGCTTGTACAATGCTTAAACATTTAGTTGTCATCTTTATTTAGCAAACATGACCCTGACGATAGCACGTGCAATTGCGTTGACTGTAAATTCACAATAATTGTAGTTTGACCAAGACAATCTGTACGTAAATTCGATGGTTCGTGATTAAGCATATTTTCACTTCCGAGGAGAACATTAATCTACAACATAATAATAATAATAAACAGTAACACTTATTTGGGATATAAGTAATTAAACGGTTTAATATTGACCCTCATGATAAAGTTTTGTGTCTTTTATTACGTAAAGTCACACATAGCAGATGAGCGCTGCCCGGATACTCACATAGCATAAGCTGTTCAAGCATCTTTTGCTCCTGTAAACTTGCCCTGATCTTACGGCTGGAATGACATTAATTTGTAGGTATTAGTGTGGTCATAATGTAAACTTTGCAAATTCCCTATAAAACGACATCAATAAAAGTGTTCTAACTCTTTCAATACTTGGTCTTTTCTTCTTTTGTTTCTCGGCAACAAAAGAATATATAGCCCTTACCAAAGAAAGTTCGTGTGTTCCCGTTGTTGAGATTTCGGATTAGTACAGCAAGTATGAATGGCGTAAACGATTAGCATGCTTCATTTCCGTGATGTCCGATTGACCCGAATATTTGGTTCCACCCCACGTGCAAATAATAAAAGCCTTGTTGTATCATTGTCCGTTTATAGTCATCACCATTAATTTATCCGAGATTAAATTCATTTTTTACCTCTTTGTTTACTTCATCCAGCAATAGGGTCTATACTGCATTGCATATGCCTTAAACTGGCCAATAAAAACATTGCATCTGCGTGATGACAAGAAAAGATCCGCGCTCCGACATTCAAAATAAAGGGATACTTATATTATTACAACACATCATTTGCATCAATTCCCTTCATCTTTTCCTTCATGTGTTTATTCGGTCGGTTATTTTGCTCTGACGCTGAACGTTACTCCTACATTCTTCTTGCTCTTTATTCTGCAGTGTTTCAATTTCCCAATTTGTCTAATAATCACTGCAACAAATAGGTTTTTCGATGATCTCGCCCAACTATGGATATTTCCTGCGTAAAATGTTACTTAACGATTGTAAACTCATATGATGACAACACTTATAAATATGCTTGCTTTCCCAAATCAAAAAACCTCCATCGCCGCATACTTAACAAGCTTGATTGCTTTGTCAATACCTTCCTTTCACCTATAACCACTCCGTTCTCGCTCTACACAGGGCTAATTCACAAATCGTAAAGGGCTGGGTTCCCTACAATAATAATTCATACCAAAATACTTATATCGCACATTCATTCTGCCCTGTGTTAATATTAACCCATCGAGAAGCAGGAGTGGTTATATTCTTTCTTTAACATTTTTTAAATTTCTAACACCTAATACCTAAATTTCCGACTAATTCTTATTCATACTACTAAAGATGGCTGGGTTAAACATCAAATTAATATTCTTGCTGGGATTCATTTCCGTAGTATTTAATCAATTCGTTGTCAATGCATCGCCCGTTGCGTATAGGCGCGATAATAGTACAAGTCAAGAACCTGTCTCGACAGACTTGGTCAATAACTTTAAATTATGGGTTCAATTCGCCAGGTAATTATACAAATGGCACAATTCTGATATTCGTATCATCGATTCCGTAACGTTTCATCCTAACTGAAAACCACTTTCAATTCTATCCCAGTGCTGCCTATTGCAATGTGACAAACTGGGATTGTGGCAAGGCTTGCAGAGGAGACACGACTGGCACTCGCTTGATTAAATTCTTTAGCAAATCCAAACCAAATGACAACAACGGTTATGTTGCAGTTAATGACCAGTTTAAATCTATTATCGTCGCCTACCGTGGCACAGCAGACATCCAGTCATTTATCGAAGACATCAAATTTCTTGAGACGCCCTTCCCAGGTGTTCCGGGCGCCAAGGTACATGCTGGATTCTTGGCCGTGTACAACGATACCAGGGAGGAAATAACTCAAATCGTAAAGGATCAGGTGGCTCAGAATCCTGGCTATAATGTCATCAGCGTTGGTCACAGTCTTGGAGGATCGCTGGCCCTTTTCCAGACTTTGGATTTGCTTGACACCCCTGGATTGTCGCCCGATAAATTGATGACATTCACATTTGGACAACCGCGTACTGGAAACGACGCATTTGCCCAGTATGTCGAGTCTCTGCCGGTCAAAATCTATCGTCTTGTGAATAAGAATGACATCATTCCTCACCTTCCTCCTGAATCATTCGAGTATGCTCACACCGCACCAGAGTTTTGGATTGATCCCACTGATCAAATGGTGGAATGTCAACAACTTGGTGGTGATAATTGTTCTGCTTCGCAACCACCGCTAAATTTGACTATTCTTAGTCACGCGAAGTACTTTGACACTGCATTCTTGTTAACATGTCTTGTTAAGTAGCTGCGCTAATAGTCTAGTGTTTTAATGTAATTAATAGTGGAGAGATGTAAAAAGTCACTCAAACTATAATAAACACAATCGCACGATCACACGATCTAACCCTAATACATGGTGAAAAGTTAATTACTGTCAATTGAAAGGAAATATCCTTCGTCTCTTACCACAAGGCCGACATTCGTGACTTTGCACATTGAACTTTCAAATATTTTTAGCTGCGCATTTATAAACATTCTCTCTGGTCTAACGTGAAATGATGCTATTAGAAAGTGATTGTTGAATCAGTATCTTGGTAAAAAGCCCTCGGTAATGATTTTAATGGCGAGTTGTTGAATAATCATCTTCGCAATGATCAATTTTAATTATAATGTACGGCGAGTATGCGACGATCTGATCTGCAACTTGGTGCGACATCTCTTATTGATGCCGGAATCACTTAATTGATTTACTGCCAGTCGTAATCTCTCTCCCTGTACCGTTTTGAAACGCGCGCGCGGCATCTACACCCACATTTTAATCACAACATGGACCAAGCCGTTTTTGAAGTACTGACACAAGCTCTTTCGAGCGACGAAAAAATAAGGGTAACGGCCGAACAGAGAATAAAAGAGTTGGAACAACTGCCAGGTTAGCATCGATAAAAAAAAGAGACGCGTAGTTTGGTGGTTATAACAACTGATATGCTATGTATAACATTTTAGAATATCCCGTTAGTTTGGCCAAAATGGCACTTGCCCAGGATATTGGAATTCCACAGAGACAAATATCCTTTGACTGACCAGCTCATAGAATATATAGCATTGACTTTTATATACTGCACATCCTTAGCATTGATGTTTGATCGTGTCTCTACATGGCCGCAGTAAATTTAAGAAGTTATGTTGGCACACATTGGTCTTCGCGTGGCGATAAGGAGGATTTTATAGGACCAGAACCAGGCGAGGAAGTATGCTTTTAACCAATGTATTTACTGACTGTCGTAATCAATCGTCATTTCCACGGATAAGCGCGTTTTGACACTTACTTTTGTTCTAGACGAAAGCGATCGTGCGTGAACTGATGTTCAATGGTCTTTCTGATCCGTCACATAAAATACGCGTTGCCTGTGTAATTATTCTCTTCTTTCACTGCTGAACGAATTTCTTTTTTTCTCTCCTCTCTTCTAATCTCGTTTGCAAATATCAATGATTTATTATTTGAATTAGGCATATGTAACGTCCAAGATTGCGCATGATGACTGGCCTGAATATTGGCCTAATCTCCTTGACCTTTTGAACTCCAACTTGACGTCAGGGTCTCCTGATCGAGTACATGGGGCTATGAGAGTGCTTGCCGGTGAGTATGTGAAGCATTCAAAAGAAATTGAAACGTAACGTTAATACTACGTGCCAATTTCAGAGTTTATAAAGTACGATATCACGGATATACAGTTTCCGCAGATTGCAACCACTATGCTCCCAGAATTATTAAAGATTCTACAAGCAGACAAGGTATTACAGGTTACGTTCTGCGACATTTGCTCACTTACTAATGCTTGGAGCTAACAATAAGAGCCCATGACAAAGGTCTACTCCTGTAGGACGCGCGGCCGTGCGGCTGCAGTATTTAAACAAAGTTTAGAAATACTGCTTATGTTGAAGGAAGAACATCCTGAAGTTATCAATAGTTTTCTAAAACCAATAATACCCGAATGGATACAGGCATTTGTCAATATATTACGACAGTCTTCGCCTGGAAATCAAGAGAGTGAATATGATGAATATGCATTGAAGCTGGATGTAATAAAGGTAAGGGTCTCGTTAAGCTGATATTCAGGCGTTATGCATGCGGCCGGTTACTTACGGTGTTAAGCTTTTTCCTGTTGCTTACTATTTTTCTAGTGTTTGAATTTTCTGACAAAAAACTTTGCCAAGTTATTATCACCATATCTTGTGTCGTTATTGGAGTTAATATGGACAGACATCGTACGACAACGTGAAAGATATCCTTCATTTATTGTTCTTTTGTTTGTCATAGCTTTTCACATTTAATTATTTTATTCTTAACATATGGCCTTGCTTATCTATCACATTTGTTGACAAGTATGTACGAGAATCGGGAGAAGGCGTTAATTTCTGCCAAGACTCCGACGGCGCTGTGATTGGATTTGAATACCTTTTGTACGCACAATTCGAATTCGTTGGTCTATCTATTCGCAAAAAGACGACAGGTGTTTTATTTGCGGGGACCAATGATAATGGTGCTTTTCTGAACGATGTACTTTGGATACTTATACATTATATGCAGATCACGGAAGAGCAGGTTAGTTGATATGTTTATGGCAATGCTCGAGTTTTTGTTTTCGTTCACAAAGAACTAAAGTTTTATTATTCTTTATGTTTGACAAGGCTGATGCTTGGATTAGTGATGCCAATCAGTTCATAGCCGACGAAGATGAAGAGACCTATAACTACACAGTCAGAGTAGCTGCACAAGATCTTTTATCCGTAAGTGTAGATTTGCTGTTCAGGAAATTGTGAGGAGAGTTTGAGGCTAACATAAAGATACGTAGATACTATTAGATAAATATCCCGAACGCACCTTTCACGCTTTAACTGTGTCGGTTCAACGTCATTTGGATGAATCCAATAATGCACGCGCTGCAAAAGACCCAACATGGTGAGAAAGTTGGCTATCATCGAGTGATGATAGAGCATTTTAATGCGCCCAGCTCTCGGAACATTTGGATTATTACTAAGACTTTGCTGATACAGGTGGAAAATACAGGAAGCTTGTTTGAATGCCGTGGGATTTTTTGCAAGCGATTTGGTGACCGCTATAAAAGAGAATGATCCAAATATCAATTTTGACATAATGGGGTTATTTAATCACGTAGTGCTTGGACATTTGAGTTGTTCTGGTAACTCGTCTATATTATTATTGAAGAAAAGAATTTGTTAACATATGCTACCGCGCTAACTTGTTCCGATTGTTGTTACAAGATCTTCCCTTTCTCCAAGGTCGTGCTCTTGTATTTGGTGGTCAATTTGCATCGATTCTCCCAGCTGAATTAGCCTCCCAATATGTTGCTGGTGCTGTATCTGCATTACAGCAAAGCGTCGCCATACCAGTAAGGGTTTCTGCTTTACAAGCTCTTAAAAAGTAAGTTGACTGGTACTTACGAACTAGTTGGTACTTATGCATACCATCCGGGTCAGCCCGTTTCATTAATTTTTTTCATATGAAGCTTTTGCCTACAGCTGGATAAACAATACGTAAAACCATATCAATCTGATATAATCGAAGGCGTAGCTAGTTTGTTTAGTCACGCATCTGAGGACTCTCTTGTTCTTGTGCTTGAAATCATTGAGCAAGTGATTAAGGTTAGTCACTGTGTTATCAGACGAGTGATTAGCAACGCCGTCCACGAAATTAACGCGAAATGCAGATTGATCCAGTTGTAACCGCACAATATGAACAAGTCTTGGGTCCGTTGATTATTGATATTTGGGAGAAGCATCCAACAGGTACGATATTCTCTTTGTAATAACAATATTTCAAATATTCATGTTTAACTAGCGTTTCCCTCAATAATTAACATTTTACAATTTTTATTACTCGTCCAGACGTAATCATTGAGCCCGTGGTGGTGGACCTTTTTGAGACATTGGCTAATAATTCAACGGCATATAGCACTTTTCAAGCCAGAGCATTGCCTCATGTTGCCAAGGCCATAGCTGAGCCACCAGAGTCTGGTGTTGCTGCTGTATGTATATGATCGTGCGTGATTTGACATAAACGGCTGTTTAACCATATAGCATTCTATAGTCAGCTATCGAGGTAGTTAGCCGTTTCATTAAGGCGGGCCCTTCACCATTACCAAGCGAATACGTACAATACGTATTTCCACCGTTGATTCATTTGCTGTTAAGCACCGAAGATCGGGAGATATTGCAGGTCATTCAATAGAAATTATTTTGATTACGTTTTCTTGAATTATCTGCTCATTAGTTTTAATTTGTAGAATGGACAAACATGCCTGAAATACTTCGTACAGAAAGATTGTTTGGCACTCGCTCAATGGTAAGCTGCATGCAAGTTGGCTATTCTTCATTTATTCAAGTTACCAACAGACTGAATTCTACAACTAGGACTGATGCTAATGGGAAGACTGGTCTCGATTATATCATACAGTTCATTGCAAGGTTACTTCAGCCAGATGAAGAGGAAGGTGCTGCATTGTTCGTTGGGACGCTTATCGTCAAATTGATTCAAAAAGCTGGCGATAAAATAGTTCCTGTGCTTGGAGAATTGTTGCAAGCGGTAGCCATGAAGTTGGAGAGGGCCAAGACGGCCACATTCATACAGGTAGCATGACGTTTGCTATTGTACTGTTTTATGTCCATTCTCTAGTCGCTGAATTGAGTTTTCAATTAGTTACTAATTGATTGTTTATTAAACAGTCGATGGTCATTGTATTTGCTCATTTGATTCTTACCCAGTTAGAAACAGTTGTTAATTTCTTAAGTAATCTTAATATTAATGGGAAGAATGGTCTTGAGATACTGTTGAATATGTGGTTTGAGAATTATGAATGCTTCCAAGGATATTACAGTCAGAAAGTCAGGTATTGCTATCCTTGAATTTATTAACCCGTTATCGAATAAGTTCAATGATCATACTCATACTTTCTATTATGCAGCGCCATCGCATTAACTAAATTGTTCTTATCGGGTGATCCGAGAGTATTAAATGTTCAAGTACAAGGTGATCTAATTGTTACAAATACAAACAGTATGTATTTGGTATATTGATTGTACATTTTGTTTGGTTAACCTGACTTACTTATCAACAAATCTGAATAAGGGATAATGACAAGATCGAGAGCCCGTCAAAGTAAGTCGAATTCGCCATAGTAAGAGGGTTTTGGCAGTACTAGTTTATGCTGATCTGCGCATCTACATTTATCATTCCATATAGACCCGGATCAATACACAATCGTTCCTGCGTCAGTGAAAATTATCAATTTGCTCATGTCCGATTTGCAGAACGAGAATGCCGCTGAACCTCAAAGATTAGACGTTGAAGACGAAGACGATGTTGAAGGTGGCGAGTTGGTTGACGATGTGAGTATAACCCGGACTTGCTTTGATCGTCACTATGTGAAAATTGTTAAAAGACGTTATGTTTTTTCAGGATGGTGAATGGGAAGACGTTGATGAATCGTCACCATTTGCACCGCAAGAAGATTATGTTGTACTAGCAGGTAAGATGAGCGTTTTCGTCGAACAAGAATGGATATCACAATGTAATACTTATGCTTGTATGGCAGACTATTTGAATAGAGACGTAGACTTTGACGATGTAGAGAGCGATCCAGAATTAAGAGAGGATCCTATTTATCAAACAAACCTAAAGGTAATTATGTGATTTGACCGTATAGCATATGTATATATCTGTTACTTATATCCGGCTTGCTCTATTATTGCAGGAATATTTGACTGAATTTTTTAACCATTGTGCGATACCTATAGTTTAATTAATTATCGACAAATAATTAGAAAAAGTGAAACGAAATAAAAAAGAATGAAACAAATAACAGGAAAAAATGGTAGGACCAGCCACCGACCTCACCCTTATCGGCTTAAAGTCGATTTTCTTAAGACTGATAATCTTTTAATCATTCTCCGTAGCAATAAGGTCTTGTCAGATTGTTATACAGATATAACTTCCCAAACCATTTCCGCATTCAGCGGACATTCTTCATCTTCACTTTATAATGTAGGTTATACTGCTCAAGAGGTCTATTGCATGATCAGATCCGGCCTGAAAGGGTCGGCTAGACTGTCAAGTTAGAAGTAGAGTCGAAAGAACAAAACTTCGTTCGATACTTGATGTGCGCAGATTTTCATGACTTTAAATCTTCCAAGTATTTTGATAAGACTAACTGCAGATTTACGTAAAGTTTTGGTAACGTCAAGATAGAAAGACCTGATATAACAACAACTAACGTCAAATATAAGAGATAGCCCAGATGCTTTTGGAAACGAGAGGTGTTATTCGGATGTGTTTGGACCTGATGACGACAGGAGAAGACATCACTTGGAAGAGGACAACATTGACTATGTATTCTATCCCACAAAGCGCGTCCTTAAGACCTATTGATATGAATAACATTATCATGGGGGAGATATCAAAAAGGGAAAAGAAGTGATACAACTAATGTCTTTAGCAGTAGTGAACTCTCGTGTGCTAAAGAATTTGTTATTACAATAGTTTGTGAAATTTAATTTACTAGTTCTAATTTTGAACACCAGAATGTATATTAATAGTCAACTGAAAAATCAGTGATATAATCTATGCTGCTTCAGCTTGCGAGTTTATTCTGTAATAATAGTAAATAGTGATAAAAATAACAGTCTCGCTAAATGGAAAATTAATATATAAATCATTCCCAGTTGAAGTGCATTTTTTTTATCTAAAAAAAAACACTTTTATGTCACTAATCCGATTAATTCTTTTTCTGTAGAACACGTTGATTTACCCTACCATTCTTTTCATTATTGACTATACTTTATCAGGGACGCTAGAACGCGTATATGGTATCGTTTTTATAAATAGAGGAAATCAAAAACCAAAATAATAAAATATCTCTTTTAATTCGCCGAACCGGCCTACACAAAAGTCTGAATGCTGCTGATATTACGCGTACTGTAGATTAAGCAACTCTAAAATTCGCATTGTGTACAGTCATATCAGCTGATTTTGCCTTGAAATTTCTATTGGCGGAGGAAAAAATTTTCGGCAGTGCCGGAATGTCACGATATTAAAAAGTAAAGCCTTACAAAGTCTCGTTCCTTCTCTTCTATCCCGTGCGGTCTACGTGGTTGTCAAGGTGTGTTAAGTAAAGATTTCTAGTGAACACTGTAGAACACTTTGACGATTCCTTGCGAAATACAGTTACGATTTATAGGCTCGCGTAAAGGCCACTAGAATTTGTTGATTCTAAATTAGTTTCAGATTCATGCGATAGCAATATTCTTACTATAAATCATAAACCAGCTGATCAAGCAGAATGCAGATATTTGTCAAGACTCTGACGGGAAGGACCATCACCGTTGAGGTGGATTCCTTAGAAACTGTTGAAGATGTCAAGCAAAAGATTCAAGAGAAAGAAGGTAACGTTTAGAAATGAATCCAACTTTCATCACGGCTTTGGCAATTGAGTGTTGATTGTGAATTCCATTATCAATCTGCATAAATAAGACGAGAAAGTTAATCGCCGATAAACAGTTTCGCAAAAAGCGTAGATTGATATCTAACTGTTCCTCAATAATTACTTGTCTACACAGGCATTCCTTCGGATCAGCAAAGCTTAGTTTATTCGCGCAAACAGGTAATCCCCGACTTTGTTACACCATCGATCTTATCAATACTCTTGCTAACCTCTCCTAGCATTGTTCCAGCTAATAGAGGACCGAACACTTATCGAATACAATATTGAAAAAGATTCGACGCTTCATTTAGCTCTTCGTCTTCTTGGTGGCGCAAAGAAACGTAAGAAGAAGACTTATACCACTCCAAAGAAGATCAAGCATAAGCGCAAGAAAGTCAAGCTCGCAGTATTGAAATATTACAAAGTTGATGAAAACGGGAAAATCACTCGGTTGAGACGCGAGTGTCCGAGCAATACTTGCGGTGCTGGAGTCTTCATGGCTTGGCATTATGACAGACAGTATTGTGGCAAGGTAGATTTACCCGAAAGTCATAAACAGAATGATGAAATTCTGGTTGTTTTCGCACGTCCTTTTTTTTAAAAAAATACCGAAACTGACGATATTATAAATGGTCTTACTTCTTTGAACAGTGTCATCTCACATTCGTCTTTAAGAAGGAAGAACAAGAGGCTTGATTGGGCCGACTATAATCAAGGGATAAAGCCTAGAAGATATTTTAATAAATAACGTTACAAAAGTTTTTTCTTGTTATGGCTAATTTATTCAAATCATGGACATGAAATTTGCGTGTCTTCACGTTCGTTGCGACATGTCAATTTCGCAGCAAAATAAGAGCTTCTAAGCTATGTCGTTCACTTATTCTATTTCTGTTTAGTAAATATTCGCGGTATATGAAAATCCTAAAACGCATTCTATTAAGAGAATCGCGGGATTGCTATCAAACATCTCTTTTACCGTTCTCCCATACGGCCTTTACCGTCGGAAATCGGAGTGACCTAACTACACCAGCTGTGGTGTTCTCTATGCTAACTTTATCGTCTCTCGCTGTTTTCGTCCGTTTCCTTGATGATCTAGATTTCTTGTCTGATACTTCAGTCTCATCGAAATATTGTACCGTGATCTCTTTTCCAATGATTAGATCCGGACGTTCTTTGTACTTGATGCGTTGCTCCACTGTAAAACCCGAACCAACGCTTACCTTATTGCCTGCAACACAATCTCAAGACTGTTAGAGAACGTAGTCTAATAAAGAAGCTACGCGTGAATGAGCCGTTAGCAACTCACCAGCATGCTCAACCAACACATTCGTCAATACGTCACGCTCTTCAACTTTTCCATTAACGTAGATATTCATAGGACCAGTTTCGATGGCTTTCACTTGATATTCTGCTTCTCGATGTTGCTTGATCTTTAGCATATTGCAACTGGCACGGAAAAAATAAAAAAGGGGAAAAGGCAGAGACAACTGACTTATCATATAAAGATGAACCAGTAAAAAACATATCATAATGGCATTCTACCTTCGTTTGCCTTCATATCCAACGTTTTTTCGCAGTATCAAGCCTTCCCATCCAGCAGACGAAGCCTGAGAAATCAGATTTCGTAAATGTTCCCCATTATTTACTTCAATTTGATCCAAAAGTCCAACTCTTTCCTTTTTTTCTATTGGATTTTCTATCAACATTTTCATAAACTCCAGGCGTTCTGCAAAAGTCCTTTCTCCGACGCGTCTTTCAAATTCGCCTTTCGACAGACAGTCAAACACACAATATGTCGGATCTTCCACCTGTTGATTGGCTGTACCAACCACCGCCATGGCATCAGCGAAAGTCTCGCGAAACTGCCCATCAATGCCTTCAGAAATCACGCATAATTCACCGTCCAGCACCAGACCCTCATTCCAGAACTTGCGGTATAATACTTTTCTATGTTTGCGGATAATTTGCTTCACGCACTCTATTATCTTTTTTAGAGTCACAAAAGATTTGCCCGATCTGGAATACGCTCTGACGTTCATCCCACGCGCCACGACTAGACAGCGAACACCATCCAGCTTTCTCGAAGCAAACCATTTATTTGAATCCTCTTCATTCGATGATGCAAAGAGAGAGTCAATCTGGTTCATCTTCAAAGTACGTCCAAGAGCTACGGAAAATGTAGCTATCGAGTCGACACCACACACTTTTTTGATCCGTTGTATGTTCATTCCAATTTTGAGATTTTTGCAAAGAATTTTATACATGAGTTCTTTATGTATGGGCTTTGTACAATTCATATGCACAAATCTTGCAACCGCAAACCGAGCCAATTGACCGCTTATCTGTCGTTCCGACAAAGCACTTAACAGAGACTCTATATTATCATACACGGGAGCGTTCTGTAACTGTTTCGGTAAATTGGTCGGATCACTGTCAAAATATCCTCGAGGCTTATTCTGCATGTATTTGATCAAGTTTTTGCTTGTTATGTTAAACTTTTCAGTCGGATCATAGATTTTGTTGAGCAAGGAATGACATTCTGGATGCGCAGATAGAATCTTATATTTTTCTGCAAACGTGTTCGTGGCTTTAATCTCTTCGACAAATGCTGCAAGCGTATCGAATTGCTGCGTAGCCGAACAGATCGAGGTTGATTCTTTATCAATAGCAGGATTTGAAACAGTCTTTGAATAATAATACTGACGCGTTTGTGGAGTATCCTCCCAAAGTTTATTGACAGCTTCTGCAGTCATTCCGATATCGAGATCCTTGTCCAAGATTCTAAAGAACAAATCTCGTTTTTCAGGCGTTACACAATATTTCTGTATAAATTTCCCGGTAGCCAAAAGAGCCTCTCGTCCAGTGATCTCGCGATTGGATAACGCGTTTAATAATGTCATTAATGATTTAAACTCATGAGCGGTCTTAAGTTTTGCCTTTACCTTTTTTGTCGATAATAAGCCATGTACCCGCTTTGGTGTAAGATAAAATTTTACTGAAGGATCATATATCAACTTGAACACCCTTCCCGTTCTGGGTCGGCGGTTGAAGTCACGGATTGTCCGTATTTTATCGTCAAGTAATGGTCTTTGACGCATTCTATTTACAAAGGCAGTTAGAACGGCGAGTTCTTTTCCCCCAGTCAGTTCTCTTTTTGTTGTCTTTTTATCTAGTTTCCTTGTTGTGTCAGGCTGTCTGCTATTAGAACCTGCTCGGTCTAGCACTAACTGATTGAATGTCCTTAGAATTCTATTTCTGCCAGTATTAGTTAAATCCCTTTCTATTTTCGGAAGATGAAAAATAGTAAAACTTCTCTTGTTCAGAAGCATTGGGTAGAAAGAAAGTTTGAGGCCAAATTAATATCGCACACGTCTAAATTAACAGATACCATTTATAGAAACTGCATTTCCCATATTAAAATTTTTTACATTTTTCCCAGATCGCCATCAAAACTTTACAAACACGTGATTATTTCTATATATGTAAAGATTTAAGTTTGACATAAAATAGATTTTGCTGCTATAATTTCACCCACTGCAGTCATGTGTCTGTAAATTTTTTGATGGTGAGTTGTGAATTTACTTGAACATCATGTGATTTAAATGTTACGTACGATCATATGATTAAAATTAATACACCCAAATTTTAAAATCCACTTCGACTTTTGAAATACCATTAACGTTGATTCTTCACTTTTAAAGTTAACAAACAAAAATTTAAAAATATTACTAAAGTATAAGTGAGCGCTGTAAATTCGACGCGGAAGTTGCAACAACTGCGATCGTAATAGTGCAGCAGACAGTAACGTAAAAATAAAATAGTTGGTCTGCTTAAAAAATTGTATCATAATAGGAATATGAAAGATCAAAAGCGTCGTGTTTTAAGACCTGGCAATTTGCCGAAAGACATTGTGAAATGAAACAAAATTGTCTATTGTTACGCTCTTGATTTATACCCTATAGATGCGTAGAATGTTTGACCCATTACGTTAGATAAACTTCATTGTTGAAGCCATTTCACCTTTTGAAATAATGTCACCAAGAGTTAAAATTTCTACTAAATTTTCCCGCCCTTGTTATGTATGTGCCACTAACGAAACAGTTGTGCTTGGTGGACTTTATGCTAGTTTCGAAATACATTAATCGATAATACTATATATATAATTAATAATCGGATATTGTATCAAGATACGGTGTTTTGTCGTTGCCCGTACATATTAAAACTTAACTAATTCAAAAAACTTGGTTGCAGCTGATAAGGCTAACTAACGTACGTCTAATAGGTATCTCTGCCTTTCTCATTTGCTTTTCGATTCTCATAATGAAGTTATCAGTAACATTAATAATGTTTTCCGTTTTATCAATCAATCAAACACAATATTAAGGTAGATGGGTCTTTTATTCAAAGGTTATGTCGTTTTACAAACACGTAGTACATGACAGTATTAGAGTTTCGCTAAGAAATTTGGATATAAGAAAGGAATTGCTAGGTCCCGATCACTTTCTTATACCGAGAGAGTCCTATGCTCTTTACTGCGGGATTATTCGATGGGTTCCCTAAATTTAATTATATCAATATAATTAATAAAACTCTGTTTCTTATGCTTTGAATACAATGAACTCGACAAAAGAAACCATTATATTTTGACTTACTTTTTCTTAAATTATTAATTTTATGTGGGATGCGTGCATAATTTCCCCCACGGCCTGCAAAGCATACTAATGGACAAATATCGTAAGTGCACATATTCATATTTTTTATAACAAAATGTATTTCTGTAGCATGCCTTTTCGAACAGCTCGCGAGCTTTCGCATACCGTAGCCATAACGAAGCCCTTGTCAAGCAAGGGCTCACGACCTTGATGGCCCACCGAAATGGCTTGCACTGCTCTCCTCTCGGGTGAGTGGCTCGTGGCGTGAGAGGGGCAGTCGCCGGTTGTTGTCGCAAGAGAAGATTATGGTCTAAATAATGAGTGTATGACCATATCTTGACGTTACAAAACGTTAAAAATTTTATCGATAACAAATTTTTAAAAAGTATAAAGTTTTTTGTTTTCATTTAGTCAAATGGTGGATAAATTGCTGCGTTATAAGAAATTCAACGACAAATTTTGGGGGAGAGGGCACTTGACAGAATTGACGTTTAAATAAGCGAACGCATACTAATCCTAGTGAGTACAAAATGATTCAGATTATGTAGTAAACAATGAGCTATTTTCTTGGAGAGGTGTTGAACGACGTTCTCATTCGTGGAAACGTTATCAATCGCATCTCAAATTTAAATTATAGAAACAAGCTTTCTCTGCTCTAATGACTTTTTTTTTCTCAGACAGATTGCTTAAACAGGCTTAACAAAGTCATTTGAAACACGAATCATGTTACCTCTTGCACGACATGGACCAGAGTTTACTCAATAGAGTTTCCTTTTTTCCATTCATTCAAACAAGCTATGTGGTCAGCTGATAAACTTTAAAGCAAAATGACGTTTTTTTTTACCATCGCTTCATCGAATAGTTCATCGTCACCCCATTCGGGACCAAATAAACTATAGAAAAGGAGTCATAACTATCAATTACAAGAACAGGAATATCATCCGAATCGTACGTATCCACAATAGAAGATTTGTATGAACTAGACGGGCTACGATTTAGGAGTCGAGTTCGGAACAATTACGTTATCGACTGTCTAGAATAGAATTATTAGAGTGCACTGCCGATAAAATGGCCTTTTTTTTTTCGTGCAATTGCCTTATTAACTATCAAAAATAGGAGTAACAAAAGTCATTTGACATGTTTACCCTGCAGAAATATAAGACACCATTGTCCATCTGGCGTTTTCGTGCGTTTGTTGTCACTATTTGATAAGCCAAGCCACTTTACTATGTTTTTATAGATCGCACGCCATTTTACTGCTTCGTTTACTTCTTTCACAAGAGATTGCGTTATCTGTGTTTTAAAATACAATTCGTTTATTGGTCAAAGGCCGTTTTCCTTAATTTTGATCACCCTTAAGTTGCTGCACATGGATTAATCAGGAAAGTCGGAAAGATTGTTAGCAGCCTATCTTCGTACATTTGAGAACAATGATAATACGATATATGATGTTTTAATTGTTGTTATGCACACACACACGGGTGGTACATCAGTAAAATGTCCCTAGTGATTGTGATGGGAGACGTCCCTAGCGATTATGAACGTGGACGCAGTCAGATCAAACACTACGATTTCGGTCTTGCTAAAACCATTCTCTTTCAACATCTTCTGTGCGACCTCTGTTTCCCAAGCCGCACCCAGACCTAATCCGCCTTCTGACAAAGAGACCGTCATAATACACAAAAGATTATCGGCATTTATTGCGGGACCATAAATCTGATTCACATTCTTCTTAATTTGTGGCAAATTACATACGTAGATACTAGCAAATCTCGAAGCAATAAGGCGTTGATGGAAAGTACGTAGAAAGTGTCTCCTATTCTGGAGAACACATCTGTGTTAAATTTTGACAGCAGTTATAATATTTATATAAAAAAACAGGCCGTGCAATCAGTAATTCAATAATAATGTTACTATCATTAATTACGCTATTATTGACATGCACATTTGACATCTTCAACAAGTTTTTCAATTAATTTGGTAGTACTAGGCACTTTGATAATGTGCTTTCTACAGAGAAAAGTCAATTCAAATTTGTGTGTTTGTAAAACCGGTGGTAGAAATAGTTGAGTCGAACATGTAATAATAATTTCCTTAAGCGTAAACATGGTTTACGTATTATCTAAATAACAATAATTGCATTTGCAGCTATGGATGCTTTACAGAACTGTATACTTGCACGCAATTTCATGACAGTGTAGTTGTAATGTATTATAGATGTCAAAAACATCTCGTTTGTAAGAGCATTGATTTAAAGATTGCGTTGCGCGAGCATTTAGGAAAGGCTATTAAATGTATTAATCTTTGCATAACATTGTTGCGATATAGTAATCATATAGTCTGATGCACCAAGCTTGTGACAACACATCGTAAGAACATCAATTTAGGATAGTTAAAGCATTGTCTGATGCTACGATATACCTTGGCAAGGTTTCAACAATGTAGTAACAACTATCGTAACAATATCACAACCTATACAATGATTTTCAGAATGGCATATGCTAGTAAAGCATAGTTGAATTTATATATTCGCGCGCCATCATTATTCAGATATTGTATTTGAGAATTGGTTATACCGTAATATGGTATTCTAGTACACGGTAAAGCCTGGTTTAACAAAGTACCCCGTTCCATTGTTAATGTGGACATGCTCCAATTGCACACAAACGGTGCTTATTAACGTATAGTAAATATCTACCTTAATCACTTGATGCTCGATGTTAACCTGATTGGTCCATGATGCATTCCCATTCGTCACTTCTGCATTTGCGTGTATCATTTCCCACATTAAAAATTTCGGACTTCTCTTCAATTACTACTTCAGGTAAGTTTTATATGGATTTTTTAACCAAATCACGTGATTGTCGAGTATAGATCAGGATCACCATCAAAAAAATTTACGGACACATGACCGCAGTGGGTGAAATTATAGAAGCAAAATTTAATTTATACTAAATTTACGTTAAACTCAAATCCTACATACATATGTATACAGTCTACCCTCCAAATATCGATATGTACCCTCAATTATACACACCTTCCATATATGCACGCCAAGTCTTATTCCCAAGCCCAGGAGTTAGTAATATATGCACACCCTCTATATTCTGCATTGCACGGTTTTTTTCACTTCCCGCTATATGAAAATCTCTCTCTCTTGATGCACGCCCGTGATTGCGTTGTCTTATTGGTTACACCTTTGTTCTATTTGAAAGAAATTCGTAACACGGTCTTTATCATTCTCTCGTTTAATATCAACAGGTAAATAAAGGATTAATGATAGATAAAGAATTTGTAATCGTTTGTGAAAGAAATAAATGACTTGTATAAAAAATCATCAGACGTTCAAATTGATGAAATTGATGACAGTACTGAACCGGTAATAGTCAATGCCAATGATGTTATAAAGAGTTTAGAATTAGTTCGTTCCTTTTTGCAACAGCAAGAAGATTCTAAGGAGTTACTTAAACATGTTAATGTTCTTGATTCATACATTAGTTTAAAGCTGACAAACAAACAACCATAGACAATTTTTTTAGTCAACAATAGAAACGGGTATTTTGCCTTTCATTATTATCATTATTATCATAAACTGTATGTCACGTGCAACCAATAAAATGCTGACCCTCTATATATGCACACCCTCCATATATGCACGCGACTGTACAAGTAATCACGTGTCCGTAAATTTTTGATGGCGATGAGTATAGACGTTCTGCACCATACTTTTTCTTAAAAACCAAATATAACAATGTCTATTAAACTCTTCTGTATAGTGAAAGGAACAAATACACCTTTTCCAGTTGATATCGATAGTGAGAAAACTGTCGGCGACCTTAAGGACGCAATAAAGGTGAAGAAGGCACCAGAATTTGATAGTTTCGCCGCCGATAGACTCAGACTTTGGAAAGTAGAAATCCAGGACGATCGTGATGATTTGTTAGCAGATCTTGCACTTCAGGACACTCTCGAACTCCTAGCTACGAAAAAAATTATCAAATACTTCGCTGAACAACCTGCTGATGAGTCTATCCACGTAATCGTTGAGGTCCCTGCTGGTAATTAATTATCCTAGCTTTTTTTGCTTACTGCCTCACTGTCGTTGTATTTTGGTATACTGTTTTCGACGTTGACTAACTTGTGCTTTTTTCCCTGCTTCTTATCACCCAAAAAATGCATTAGTACGAACCACTTCTGGGAAAATAAATATCAGGGATGCTTTTCCTGAAGGTATGTATTTAACAAAAGTTCGCTATTTTTATATTGAGGCTGACTGAACATGTCATCTAGGCTTGCCATACATGAAACCAGAACCTTTACTCTACACTTCTGGTGCAAATTGGGAATACCAACCTCACCCGTCTTTGAAGCACATTTTGCGAAGGGAGCTTAAAAATCATTACACAAATTTTCTTTCAGGACGTTTTGACAAAATGATGATTCCATTATACCTCTTCCTTTCTGGAGCTGGCATCGGAAAATCTCGAAACGCTAATGAATTTCACCAGACAGCAATTACTTGTTTGTCAGAGCCAGAAGATACTGAGCTGTTGACTAAGATCAAAGAAGCTTGGGTATTCCATGTCAGCTATGAAAATGGCACCACCTTACGATCAGAAGAATCCTCCCCTTATCTTGCCGTTGGTACTCGAATGCTACTTCAACTTCTTAGAGAGAAAATGGGGCTTTATAAAATTATCCAAACATACGAGCCAGTAGATCCGGAGGATGTTATGACATTGGTTGCCAAATACCATAACCGAGACTTAAAAGACATTACGGCTATTTTGGTTGTTGACGGCATGCAACAACTTATGGACAACAAAGATGATGGTTTCAAGTCAGATTCTCGTTTTTACCAGACTCTGTCAAGTATTGCAGACTTTGCATTTAAGGGCATTTTCTTGATACCCGTTTGTACTTCAACAATAACTGGCCCTGTTGATGGTACATTGAAATACTCGCATCGCAAACGTGTATATCTACCCGTCGCTTCTCTGGAACCGCCAAACTATCGCCAAGACCAAAGCTTGGTTCCCGTCTTTGGAAATGATGAGATTACTAAGACTCTTGTGGAAGACTGTGGAGGGCACGGAAGGGCTCT